AGTTTTTATAAAAAAAACTACTATAATATATTAAAATAATGGTGGAGGGGGGGGGATAAATAAAAGCACACATAATCCAGATAGTTGACCTGAGCTCCGTAGCTCACCAGACGTTTGGTTTCTCTGTGTGCAGAGGAGTGCGAGGCGCGGCCCGGCCAGCGGGAGCAGGCCGAGGCCGTGATGCTGGCCTGCCGCTACCTTCCTCCCTCGTTCCTGTCGGCGCCGGGCCAGCGGGTGGGCATGCTGGCCGACGCGGCCCGCACCCTGGAGAAGCTCGGCGACAAGCGGACGCTCCACGACTGCCAGCAGATGATCATAAAGCTGGGCAGCGGCACCACCGTCACCAGCAGCTAGAGCGAGGGAGAGGTTGGGGTGAGGGAGGCTTGCACGGACGCCGTGTGTACCGAAACGCCTCCTGCGTACAAACGCGCGCAGGAACAGGTGGAGGAAAAGACCTGCTGCCGCGGAAACCTTCCAGTGTCCTTTGAAATTCACTGGTTGCTCCTCCTCTGCCTACCCGGCCTCACATCTTAAGGCACTTTTAGAGTTCACGCACTCTGTTTCTTTTTAAATTATGAAGTAATGTGAAAAAAAATAAAAATAAAACAAAAAAAAAAAACCCACAAAGCATCTTTTTTCCTATCAGGCTGGACTCTCTTGTGAGAATTGATTGCAGTGTCCTACTCTGACCACAGTGAGGAGCCACCACTGGAGATGTTTGCCGTGTAGCTCCTCCCTCTCTCCTCCCTCATCTGGCAGATCTGCACCTTTTTCCCCCCCAAATCGGACGGCCCGTCTTGTGGGGGGTTTTGATGTCTCTTTGATTATGGGGAGGTAAAAAAAAAAAATTAAATAAAAAGTAACCAAACTCAATGGTTTGATCGTGGACATGCGCGCTGAAAAGCCCCTTCACATACTGTAAAGGTTTGAGGTCATCATCTGGCTCAACCCCTCTCAATCTCCTGTCTGCACTAGGCCTGTGAGGCTGCTCTTAATGGAAAACAACAATAACAATAAGGCTTTATGAAATTATTTTCATAGGTATTGTGTATTTGTTTTTTTGCTGTGTACATATTTTACACCATATTTATAATCTGGAGGAACTTTGATTAGGCGTTTCTTTTTTGTTTGTTTTGTTTTTGTACGCAGAGTGATAATTGCTTATTTCCTCCCCCTGAATCCATCTTGACTATTCTTAGACCAGGTTTAGTCGAGTCAGGACTGTACCGCATAGATCTGAGCTGGTTGACTCTTTAGGTCTTGGACATTTGTAAACATATGAAAGCAAAAACAGTTTTTTTTATGACATGGCTTTGACATTTCTGAAGATCATTTGTTGCCCTAAAAAAAAAGAAATATTAAACCCCTCCTCCCCATTTGTAACACTATCATACAAGAAAATATCTTTTTCTCATATTTTAGGTGGACCAGATCATTTTCTGATTATTTTTATTTTTAAAAACTGTAAAAAAGTTTCAACAAAATGTTTGCCATTTAACAGTATGTTTTTATTTTATTTTATAGTTGGTCATGTGAAATCTGAAAACTGAAGAGAAAGCTTGTGTAGCAACCTTGTTGGAAGGTATCGTCTTGTAACTGACATTTCTTTTCTTTCCTCCTTCCTCTCCTATATTATTTCTCCATATTTACATGTAAATATTAAATCATTTTTTTAAAGAAAACTTATGGCTTTCACATCTTTATTGGTGAATCGTCTTAATTTGAGAATGTAACTAATAGTTTAAGCTTCAATAATTGTTCTGACTGTGGATATGGGTTGAACTGAAATGACATGCTCGCTTGTGTTTCCTCTTTTGAAGAGTGACCTGTGTTCCTATGTACTTACATAATTTGTAGATTTTGACATTCTAGGTTCTTCTAAGCAGTTTTAGAACTGTATTGCACACTTTTCAGATTTTTTGTTGTGTTTAATGCACACAACAAAGTGCCACACACTCCCAGAACGTCTCAGCAAATACTTATTTTTATATGGGAAAAATGTGCTAAGAAAATCCAAAAGATTTATGATTTCAAACCTTTGACGTATTGAAAAAGAAAACATGCTTTTTTTTTTTTTTTCCATAAATTAGCTGTACGCCGTTAGTCCAGGTTTCTCTTCTTCAGTGTGTCAAAGTGTGCGTGTCGAGGGAAGACAAAAACACCAGGCGTTGGTCGTAGCAGCATTGAAAGGTGCTGGTATATTTAACATTGGCGTTACAAAAAACATTTCAAACAAAGTGATGCTGTAGTGTCATCGAGTCCAAAACAAACAGACATGAAAATCAATAAAACGGCATGCTCCCACTTAAGACAAGTGACATTCCAAAAAAGGGGGGGGGGTTATCTTTTTTTTCTTTTTTTTTCCTGTATCATCAACAGATTCTTTTAATAATGTTTTATAAGCAATAACATATTCCATTTTATAGAAAATAAACATCTCTAGGAAATACTATACACAATTATATTAGTACATCACATCTTACATTTAAACAGCATCAAATACTTCTGTACACCATTAAATAATGAGCTTCGAAAAGAGAATGTTTTGGTGTGGCGTTTTTGCACTTTTCTTTTCTGCTTTTAATACTTAAATGTGTCTCTTTCTGATATGACTAGAACGTTAACGGCCTCCCTGCGCGGCGCAGCGTTATATTGCCCGGCAGAGAGAAGAGTAGGCTACATTTTCGATACACAAACAGACAGGTGGAGCGTCTCTTTGCGTGGCTGTGGAGTAATTACACATCATTGGATATTTCTGAGCTGTACATTGATATGAAGTGACATGAGACCGAACTCCCGCTCCCATAACCCAAGCCCTCGACCGATCCGGCACGATGAGGATGTCTGCTGTACATACTGAATGTGCACACAGTTGAATTAAACTCAACAAATTTAATTTTTTTTTTTTGTTTGTTTTGTTTTTTTTACATATATATCTATATATTTTCATTTCTGAGTAACACAAAGCCTGACATATAACAAGGGTGACGCAATGATGTTGCCTAGTCATAATGCACATCAATATACACCTTTAAAGATAAGAGCATTATATTAAAATACAATTTTTTTTCCATTAGAACTTGTAAAGCACATAATTTACAGTTTCCTCGTTTATTTTATTTTATTTTTTTTTTGTTTCGTCTCGTGTTCCAAACACAAATGCTGACATTGAAATGGTACATCCATTGGTTGGTTGCTGTATTTTTGTGTATTAGGCTGTTTAGCAAAACAGCCCAACATCATGATGCTACCGCCACCATGTTTGACACTTGTTTCAGTGTTTTTTTTTTTCCTTTTCTTATATATATATATATATATATATATATATATATATAATCCCACCCCACCAAGACAGACGAGATCTTGAACTGAAGATGCACTCAGACACAAACACATGGTGAGGGTGTGGCTGTGGAATGAGTAATCACATACGCCACAGGGAGAACGCTGCTGTGGGATCCTGCTGGACGTTTCTGTTCGGTTCTCTGAGCCCATCCGAAAACAGAAAACACACACTCACACACGAATGTTCCTCGCTCTGCATTTCAAATAGTTTCCGCTGGGGTCCAGACAAAAAGCACGTCCCCCTCCCCTTGATAGACGGCGTCACCACCCCCTGCCTCGCTGCTGCAAGGGATCGTTTTTCAGCAAGCAGCTGTTCAGCTCTCCAGGGAATAAGCGGCTCCATGGCTCCACACCTCGACGCAGCCTCTCGCCGTCGTGCTCGTCTACTGTCATTTATTTTATTTTTATTTATTTTTCTATTTTTTTTTTTGGCTTGCAGGATAAGTGGCAGAGTGATGATTTTGGAAGTGAAGGTGGAATGCAGGGATATATTACAGATCCTGTTAAGGAAGAAAGGAGAAATTTAGAGACGTTCAGAGCGACTCTCTTCATCCTGTCTTATGAGCCCTTTTTTTTTTTTTTTCCTTTGGTTTGAACCAGAAAAAGCTTCAGGCAGCTGTGATGCAGGTGGAGAGAGCCTCCAGGCCACTCTGAGCCGTGAGAGTTGAAGCTTTTTCTGCAGAAATGTGCAGAAAACATCAAAGCGAGGTTGCTGCATGAAAGAGGAGATGAATTCAGCTGACCAGCTTGGCTGCAAAAAGAAAACCATGTAAGAGCCAGAGATGCACTTACAGTGTCTCGCAAAAGTTTTCACACTGCTTGAGCCTCTTCTTGTTTTGGTTGTGCTGCAACCACAAGTTTCTGTGTATTTCCCTATGTTTTTATCAGCGAATAGAAAGAAAGTGCTGCATAATGATGAAGAAAAAAAAACATCACAAATTTCAGTTTTTGCAACAAATAGAAATTTGAAATAGGTTGCATGAGTTTGTAGTCAATGCCCTGAAAAATGTTTGGCTCCAGGCAGCTTTAAGTCTTTTGAGCTACATCTCTAAAAGGTTCGCACATCTAAAAACTTGATTTTCTGCTCATTCCTTTTTTGCAAAATAACTCCCAGTCACTCTGAGGATATAATTTTTTTTAAAATACACATTTATTGGTCATTTTCAGCTAGATTCAATTTTGACACATCTTAACACTGAGGCAGTATTCCACGTTAGCCTGCTGAAAGGCCTCCGTCCAGTATCAAATCTTTATAGTCTCTTCCAGATTCTGTTCTAGAATTATTTTATATTTAGTTGCATCCGCCCTCCTACCAAATTCCCATGATTTCCTAGTTCTGCTAAAGAAAAGCATCCTTACAGTATGCTACTGTGACTCCCATGTCTTCCTGCAAGGTAGTTTTCTGCCACACACTGCTTTTTGGATGTACTTTAAAGCAAAAAGTTACATTTTGGTCTCACCCAAGTGTAGGAGATGTTTGAGATGTCTCCTATAAGGTCTACTGCAAACTGTAAAAAATAGACTTCCTATTGTTTTGAAGGATTTCTTTTTTGCTACTTATTTGTGGATGTTTGAACCTTCTCCAGAGTTACCAGGGGCCTCTGCTGCTTCTCTGATTAAATATCCTCTTCTCCAGCCTGTCCGTTTAGTCATGGTTGGTTCATTTTTGCATCTAGCGCTTGAAAGACTGGGACATTTTTAAATTGCTCCATGATGTTATCTCTGACCTGTCTGCTGTGCTACTTGCTCTTCATGACGCCGTTTGTTTGCTAATGTTCTGTCAAAAATCTGGGGGCTTTTGTAGAACACCAGATTACACACAGAAAACAATCATTTTCCTTCCAGTTCACTACTTTGTGGTGATCTGAAGTTTGTGGTGGAAATGTGACAACGCGTGGAATCAGCAATCAAGAAGGATTACTACATTTGAAAGGCAGTGTGTTCTCCATTTATTTTCCTCCTTGTGGCTTCAGCCTGCCACCTGCCCATCCTCGTGGTCTTCCTGTTCTCTCTCTGTCTCTTTCTGCTTTCTGGTCTCTGGAGTAACACATGACTTTCTTTTCGTTTTTTTTTTTTTTACACCTTTAGTCTCTCCACCTCGCCGTCACAGGAAGGCTCTCCTCTTTTGCAGCCTTTCCTTCCTTGCACCATCTCGACGTCTCCCAGTCTGCCGCTCTCTGATGTAACTGTCCTGATTCGGCTCTTTCTATTCCAGCTCAGCCTCAGCGTGAAACTGTCTGCGTTTCCCCTGTTCCTTAGTTTTTATTTTTGCACCCAAAGTGGATATATGCGAGCTTACAGCTAACCTGCTAATCATCCCGTGCTGATGCGCTATTAAAGCGTTACGTTTAGGTGAATTTTATCCCGCCTTAAAGTGAGAACGTGTGGATAAAGAGAGTCCTCTGACGTGGCAACCCATGGGTGGGGTGCTTGCATGTTTATCCGTGTCTCCTCTTCCCTTTGATTGGGCCGCTCAGCTTAAATTGGCTCGGCGCAGACGTGCAGCCTCTCAGATCCCTCAGCCTGATGACAGCTCTGCCTCAGCGCAGCTAACAACAATCTCTCTCTCTCTCTCTCTCTGACTTGCTCTCATTTTCTCTCTGTTTCTCACACTTCGTCTCTGCCGCTCAGACGTGCGAGTGGAGGTGAAGGGGGAGGCGCAGGGAGAAGGAGAGAGAGAGGGAGAGAGGATGAGAAAGGAAGCGGGTGAGAAAGGGGCTGATTGAGGAAGGGAGAAGGGAGGATGGAAGGTGGGGGGGAAAACAAATCGGGGAGCTTATAGGATATCAGAAGGTGAACGGATTGAGACGCTGGGAGAGACGGAGCAGCGGGGGAGCAAAGAAGCGGAATGAGGCTAACAGGAAAAAAAGAAGGAGGAAGGAGAAATAATGAGAGGAAGAAGTAGAGAGTAATGGTGGAGAGAGCATGTGGGGAGGATAACAGGCAGCGATGGTGGGTGGGGTGTTTTGATCAGCTGCCAGCTTTTCATCCCTGCCAGTCTGCACAGAGGAGAGCAGGAAAGGAAAAGGGAGCAAAGGAGGGAGGGAGGAAGAGAAAATGCAGATGCAGAGAAGGGGGGTGAGGGAGGGAGGATGTGAGCCTGGTGCCACCGCTGCCTCAATGCACTGCTGCTCTCTGCTGAATGTCAGCATCTCTGCCTCTCTCAACCACCCCCCCCCCCCTCGCATTTGACCTTCCACGCTGTGCTGCACTGTCCATTCATCACCAGCAGATGGTGTCTATCCCACAGGAAAAGCAGGTGTGGTGCAGACTGTTAATGTTCACCAGAAAAGCAGGGAGCCGTTGTAATTGTGGAGGTCTGAGGGTGCTGGGTCGGTCTAGGCTGCTGGAAATGCTTAACAATTAGTGAGTCTGGGATGATAACGATGAATCTGTCCTTTGTAGTTGAACGACAATAACAGGGACAGGATGAGCTACGTAAACTGCACTGCGTGTGGCATGCGGTATATCCAGTCGATTCACATTCTGGATGTGCACAGGTATACACTTTTCCTTTTAGAAAAGTAAAAGTAGGACAGGAAGGCAGTCATGAGAAGAAAAGTTAAATCATGAGCTCTGCTTGTTCACGTATGTCTTCCAAAAATTAAAAAAAAGAAAGTGAAACTTCCACAATATTCATTGACTTGAATCATTCATGGACTCTTTCCATGCAGTGAATTTTATTTTGGGGTATCAGAGTGGAAGAGGGTTAACAAAAATCCATAACAAAACCTTTCAGATCTTTCTTTTTGTGAACTAATGCTGGAATCCATTAATCATTTCCCTTCCAACAAATAATTACGCAGTACCTTTTGAACATCATTGAAATACACTGCGGTTGTGACAATGTATCTACAATTTTAGGACGTATGAATACTTTTGCAATGCACTGTAACATCGTCTACAACTCGATGCTGCAAAGCGTCGACTTTCAAAGACCAAAAGATCTTCAAGCCTTGTAAAATATCAGCAACAAACACTGTAATGATTAATATGCATATATTTTACTAGTAACAGTTTTCTTTTCTTACCTCATGTTTTGGGCATTTGATGGAAAAATCATCCTCGTGGAATGTGCAGCCTACAGGCAGCGGGAGAAAAGGCAAAGAGGAAGATAAGCTTGCGTCGCAGCTAAACAAGAGAAATGAATCAAACAGACGCACAACACCCTTGAGCCCCACATAGACGGCAAAAGCCAGTAAACGATGAAAATGCAAAAGAAAGAATTGCACAGAAAGTAAGAGGAACGAGAGATGGGGCGCAAGTGAGTGGATGAGTTGCAGAGCGGGCAGGCAGATATGGCTGGTGCACTCAGCAGGATTAAAAAGGGCCTCACTCCGCTCCCTCTGCTGGCTCTGCAGACGTGGCAGGCCTTCTAATCCTCACACTGTACCTCTCTGGCATGAAGTTTCACAAGGGTAAGCCATGTCACACACATGCTGACACTTCCAGCAGCAACAGCGAACAGGAACACACAAAATGGGTGAGCTGAGGGGACGTACACATTCGTAACATGCTCCTGAGATGAACAATTTAGGTATTTAAGCAACCATTGCACATGTCAGTAGAGGTTCACACACCCACATTTAGAGCCCCGACAGCCGCGTGGATGGATGGAGCCACAGGGGTTGCGGTCAATAATGCACACATAGAAACTACCCCCCGCCCCCACCCGTCTGGTTCCCTTCTCTTTCTTTCATACTCCCACTTTCATCATCCTCTTTAATCAAAGCTCTCTTTTGGGTTTTCCCTCCCTCTGAGCTCTCAGACATATCTTTTTGCATTCAATATTGCTACTACTCTATGCATTTTCCCTCTCGGTTTACCCACATCAACTTCTCTTGACTCACCATTTAATTTTTCACTCTTTTTTTATTTTTATTTTAACTCATGCTTGACCTCACTTTCATCTCTCCACGTTGGCTTCTTTTGTTTAAATTTCAGTCCAGTTCTCTGGCATTGTTTCCTACCGTAGTTTCTTACCTATCTCTTTGGCGCAGATGTAGTGGTACTTATAAGAGCAGCCTCTCCAACAGCAGCTGAGAGACGCTCCCGAAATCTGGCACTTGTGACAGCTCTGGGGTTCATCAGACAGAGAACAAAACCAGTAAAGCACCATTCTAAAATAAATAAGACACAAAGAAGGAATGTCTTGACCGTATATTGAGCCTCTTTATGATTGTTAACATACCGTTTGAGCTGACTTGTTGGCAGCTTCCTTCAGTCCATATAGCCTTCCAGCTACCATAATTATCCCCTTAGTCCAGATGGTACAGTTTTCATGAGCCCAGTGCTCCTTGGCCACTGCCTCCATTTGTAGCTTTTGGAATATGCTTTCATTGCCCTCTTGGTCCTTTGAAGTGGCCGTGCAGAGATTCTGGAGCTGCTTCATTCTCCTGAATCTCTCTCTGAGGGTAACTCTTCTCGGACCACCTTCCTGACACGGTCTTTCCGGTCTCAGTAGCCGCCTGTAGTGCCGGTGATGGTGCCTGCTGTTTCCAGCCTCTTCAGTGGTAGCTTCTGTACTTTCCTCCTTTTCTGAGTTCACTCTATCTTCAGTCTTTGAAGAAGTCCCCGGTTCTTCACTGCTGTTACTGTCATTCCTGTGGGTCTTGCTGCCGTCTTCCCTGAAGAGTTGCGTATGTGTGATAGTCAAAATTTTCCGTGGAATGCTATCTTCTGTGTAGTATGGTCCACACAAATCACCCAGGTCTTTGTAGTTTGGTGGTTTCCCACATAAGCAACACGTAAGACGCATGTCAGATAGGTTTGTGTTTACCAATGGTCCTAGTTGCATGGCAGCAGTGTGTGGCACTGCTTTAGCAACTGTGAAAGGATTCCTCATTCTAAGTATGCCCTTTTTTCTCCGTCTCTGAAACACAACAGCATCTTCAGGCTTGTTGACTATGGCACACCAAGAAGAAAAGTCTCTAGAGTTGTTGATCCGTACATAAGGACAAAAAGACAGTTTGGAATTCCTGTTGATTGGTCTCCTTCTGATTCTTTTCACAGAGATGAACTCCATCTGCTTTTCTGTAACGGTCACCACAGGACCCACAATACTAGTCTCTTCACTTTCTATGTTCTCTCGTTCTCTTTTTTCTCTTTCTTCTTTTGCTCTTTCCTCTTTTTGGTCCTGCTCACATCCGGCTGCCCTTACAACTGCCTCAATTACCTCAATGGCATCTTTCATTCCAGGTTTTGGCCCAGGTTTTTTGTGGATCTTCACTGGCTTCCCAGGAGCATGCTCCATTGAGGCTTGGCTTCTTTTTTGTTTAGTTGGGTTTGCGGATGGTTTTCGGCCTCTGCGAGGTTTTTGAATAAGTTCTGCAGAGATGGCTTGGGGGGTTTCTGTGAATTTATCCTCGTTAGTTGGTAGAGGTTCTGTGGACTTTGTGGACTCTGTGGTGGTGACTTTTTCCTCTATTCTTTCCACAGGTTCTGGCGTTTCTGTTGTGATGAGCTCATCTACTTTCTCGGTTTCCTCTAAATTGGCTTCGCCCTTTCTCTTCTTCCTCCTCTGTTTAAGGTGCATTTCATGGTTGTTCTTAATGGCTCTCTGTTTAGCAAGTCTTGGTGTTGTAATAATGAGGCTGTCTGCTTCCAAAGCCACCACGGACGCATCTGTACTTTCCACCATGGCCCATCTCTTTCTCTTCGTTCTGACAGACTTTGTGGCATCACTCTTGGAAGTCTGTTGTGTCCTCTCATCTAGAGTTCCAACTTCTAACCATGTCTCTGTTGAAGACGAAGCCTTATTGTCAGCAACCTCCATCTTGGTTTCTGTTTTACCTTTTTCTTGTCTTCCATAATTCTTATTTGTCACCTCATCTTCCACTGATGGTCTCACTATATCTTTTGCTGATTCCTCTTGACTTAGCTCATGCTTGCCGCCTTGTTGTGTAACGTCCTCCATTACCATTGCTTCTTCTTGCTCTTTCATTTCCTCCTTTGTAAACTCTAGTGTCTCTGTGTTATTTATTTGAATAAAAGCCTCACCTTCCTTAAAGACAAATTCAGAAAAAGCCTTCGATGTAAAATCCTCACTTAGACTACTCTCTTGTTGGGTAGCTAGGAAGTGTTTTTTTGAGCTGGGAGATGTAATCTTCTGTACCATTGCCTCATATTTCTGCCCTCTTCCTTTGCGTGGAGGGAGAACTTTTGTTTTGGTGGGGCACTGAGGAGGCACCACAGGCACGTCACTGTTGGTAGATCCACTGCTGTTAGGAGGAGCATCTTTTGTTGAGGCACAAACCAGAGAAGCTTTCCTGGGTGGTCCTCGCTTTCTTCTGGGGCCTCGGACACTTTTGTCTTTGCGTGCTGGTAGAGTCTCTTCAAACAGGACTGACTGAGATGGTAAGTTTCTTAGTTTGGGCTTTGGACCTCTCTTCTTTTTTACAGGGGGTGTGGAAATGTCTGGGCTAGATGAACGCTTCAGTATTGATAATGTCTTTTCTTTAGATTCTTCAGAGAGGACTGGCTTTGCAAGTGGCACGGGTGAGTGTAGGGAAACATTTGTTGTTATCATGGCATCAGGATTTGGAGTTAGCAGTTTTTTCACAACTATGACCTCTTTAACCTTTAGAGAGATATCACTGATTTTATTTTCTGTTGGTGTTGAAGTTTGAATATCTTCCCCTCCCCTTTCCTTTTCTTTTGTTAGCTTATCCTGTGAGGGTTTTCTGGATCTTAAGACCATATTGTTGTTTTCCCTTTCTTGTACCTTTATTTCTGGGAGAGATTGCTTTTCCTCTGTAGGAGATCTTCCATCTTGGTTATATTGCAGTGTTGCATGTTTTAGAGCTTTCCTGGTCCTGCTTTGCATTTCTGGGACTTCTTGTCTTGGATCTTCCCGGTCCATCAATTTTGTTTTTGAAATTGAGCCCCTGGGGCGACCAACTGGAGCTTTGATGGGAGCAGCCTCAGTAGGAGGCAAAACCTCAGCAGGTTTGAGTCCAGGTTTTGGACCTGGTCTTAGGGCTGGTTTTGGTCCAGATTTTGAACCTGGTTTTGGCCCTGGTTTGTGCCTTACAACAGTTTCAATTTTCAATGGCACTTCTGATTCATGTGGCGCAGGCTTTTGTCCTGTCTTTTTCCCAGGTTTTGGTCCAGGTTTGGGACCTGCCTTTAGACCAGGCTTAGCACCTGGCTTAGGCCCTGGTTTTGCACTGGGTTTTGACCCTGTCTTAGGTCCAGGTTTTGGGCCTGGTTTTCTCTTTACATTAGGTTCAACTTTTGTTTGGATATCTGGCGCATTAAAAGAGCGAGTGCACATTCTGGATTGAAAACCCTCTGTCAGCATTTTAGGAGTCTGGCTCATCATAGAATCCTGATGAGCAAGGTTAGTTTGATCTGAGAATAAAACAGTCTTGCTTGGAGCCATGCTCAATTTTTGCTGAGAGGAATTTGTTTCTTTGTCTTCCTTTTCTTCCTCCTTCTTCAAGCTCAGTTGTCGCCTTAATGCCACACCTGAATGTATGATTCTCCTTCTACCCCTAACATGCTTACGCCCGTATGTCCTTGGCTGAGCGGATGGAACCATGGGCTCTGGTTTAGCTAGTGGTGTCACTGCACTGGAACAACTTATGCCTGGTTCTATATCATCATCCCCTTTTTGAGGAGATGGTGGAGTGTCAGCCCAGGATGGGGCAGAGGGAAGTATTGACTTCCCTGGCAGCTGAGGAGAGTCTGGCTCCAGGACCTTAGCATCGCTGTGATCAATATGATCTCTAGCCTGAGCCGGAGGAGCTGCCTTATCATTGAGAGCAGAGAAGACTGGCATAGCAGACTGTGGCTGAGGTGCTGTGTCGCCAATGGCTGACTCCCTTGTTGAAACATCTGTTGCTGTCGTTGCTGCTGCTGCATTAAGAAGACCGGGTCCCCCTGGCAAATCACTGTCGGTGTTAAGAGCTAAATTGTGGATTTCTGTTCTGCTGCAGAGATCTTCAGAAGGACTCATTTGGATGTCTTCGTCATTTGTGTGCTCTTCAGTTAATGACTGACTTTCTTTCTCCTCCTCCTCTTCTTCCTCCCTAACTTCTTTAGACAAAAGCTGTGAAAAAGAACATTTTTCAATTTCTTCTTTCTCATCTTCATTTATCTCATCCTCTTCCCTGTCCATGTCTTTGTCATTCTCCTGAGTTCTGCTCTCCTTCTTGTCACAGCTAGACTCTTCCAGGACTTCAGTTCGTGGGGTTGGAGAGGTATTTGCCGAACTGTCGTCTTTCTCTGTGGAATATGGATCCTGCTCAAGGTCTCCTCTTGAAATGAACGGCAACGTTTTCACAGAGCTCTCGGATGCAGTTGGAGATTCAGACTTGAATACCTCTGACTTCATCTCTTGACTAAAGTGATCTTTGTTACTGGAATCAGAGAGATCAGCCGGGGATTGTTCAACTGAATCTCTTGCATCTGAGTCATATTTGCTCTGGACCTCTTGGTACATTGTGTCTTCATAGCAATAGCCTTTTTCTGCCATGTTCGTGTTTATTTTGCTGTAGAAATTTGGGCATTTTTCCTCATCTGTCCATTTCTCTTGCTTCTCTGTAGGGTTGTTTGAGTCTGAATTACTTATAAAATCAAGAGTTTTATCCATTGCTTCCTCTTCTTTTCCTGCAGGTTTTTCAGTCCAAGCTGACTCTTCAAAGTTTTCCTTTACAGGCTGATTGATGTGTTGTATGTCTGATGGGGAATCACTTTCTTGTTTCATAGGACTTGGTATTGTAATGCTTGTTGGAGATCTCTCATCACCGATGCTCTTCCCTGGGGTATTCATGCCATCTCCTCCTTGCCCTGCCGTGCATCTTATAGGATCTGGGGTAAGGTTGTGCAGACCCGAGTCCCCAGACCTAGTAGACATATCATCTGGAGAAGCAATGGAGCAAGAGGAGGCTGTGTCCAAGCTGAGTTGTGTGTTGTTGTGAGCCTGGGCTGGACTTCTACCCTGGCCAAAGTAATAGAAACCTCTGTCCAATGGTTCATCACTGCTGCTGGAGTAGCCACCCTCATGGAGTTCCATAGGCAATGGTTGGTGCTGTGGGGTAGAGTAAGGTTCATGCATGGGGACCCCGCCCACATTGCCACCACTGTCTGGATATGGAGGGCTTTTGTATTCTTCACCTTTCTTGGTGGAGGCCCCACTTCCAGTGCTGCTGTTGCTCCCACCACTGCTGCGCTTGCCGCCCTTCTTGTTTGCAACCAGGGCTTCTGAAAGCAGGAGCTGTTGGACATTATTGGAGATATTCTCCACCTGAGAGGTGAGAGCGTTCAGGCTCCACAAGCTGGGGTTTGACAACAGCTTCTCCGAGAAGCGCTCTTTCATTGTGGGCGCTTGTGGCGTCGAAGTGTAGCTGTGGGACGTCGTGTGGGATATGTTGGGCGAAGGGTGGGACCGCGGGGGCATTAGCATGGTGTTTGCGCTGGCTTGATCTTGCATACCAGCTGAAGAGGATGACGACGACGAGGCTGCCCCAGGTGTCATTGGTGGTTGGCCGTACTGGAATGATTCTGGATTAGTCATCAGTGGTGAAGGGGTGGAGCTGTATGAGGGCGAGCGTCCGACAGAGCGAGCAGGGGAATGACTCGAGGAGGGGCTGCAAGTCTGATAATATTGTTCTGGAGATCTGACAGGGAGCTCTGACAGACAGTAATTTTGTTGGGGTTGGTTATAGTGTTGGTACTTAGGGTGGGGCTCTTGGGGGTTGGTCATTGCCTGTAAAGAGGTCTGCTGCTCATAACCTCTGGGTGTTGACTGCTGGTACCCATAGCTGTTCTGGGTTGACCTGTAAGTCCCCTGCTTCAAACTGCTATGACTACTTAGCTGTCTGCTATATTGAGAATTTGGAGGTATGTTGTAGCCTTTATAACAATGGGGCATGGGACTGCATTTTTCCATGTATGGGGATGGAGAGGGTGAGGGCTGTGGGTAGTGTAGGTGACTTTGGGGATACATGAGAGGTGAGGGAGCAGGGTTAGGAGGGTGAGGCTGATGGTGTGGACTTGTGTAACTTGGGGTAGAAGGCTGGTGGCATGGGGTTTGGGAGTGCCCCAACATGTTTGAGTCTATGTACTGGGAGGATCCAGGTGCAGGGGAAGCACCAGCCTCCAGTCGCCCCACCATCTCCTGTTCATACTGTGCTAACTGTGCAGGGTCCTCCCATTTCTGCTGGAGATGGCTCTCGCTCATGTACTGAGTGGAATAATTTCCTGGGCCCATGTGATTACTATAGCCTCCAGGGCCCTGCAGGTGTTGACTGGGGTTTGGTGGAGGAACTTTGCTTCCTCTAAAGGATTTTTTTGCCTGTGAGGCTGATGAGCTCCCATTTCCATTTCCACTGCCTCCAGTACTTCCTGGGTACCCAGAATAGTTTGGTTGGCTGTAACAGTCCTTGGGTCCTCCGATCCCAGCTGCTCCACCTGTGGGCACGTTTGCTGCGTTAGACATAGCCTCATAGCCTGACCTGTTGTGCCCGGGGCCAGGGCCTGGATGTGGACCAGGGCCTGGGTGTGGATGCTGCGGATGGGGATGATGTGGGTGTTGCCGGTAGGTCTCCAGGCGAGATAATTCATGGGGCTCCTGCTGATAGCAGGGTTGGTTGCTGTGGTAACCACTGTTGCGCTCACGAAAGGACTGCATAACTCACTCCGTCTGTAGCCTGAGCAGGGAGGGGGAGGTGAGGTGAAACGGGAGGGAGGGGAAGGGGGGTCTGGGGTTCTGAAGGTATGGAGGGAAGAAGGAGAGGAAATAGAGAAAAAAGACAAGAAATTATGAAGGTAGGTTCTTGGGGTATAAGCATTTTTCTTTGTCTAAGGAGAACTTGAGAATGCATTTCAAGAGACACTTAAAGTAACAACTAATTTCTCTTTCTGAGAAAAACACACATGCAGACACACAGGCGTTCAGATCCAAAGTAGATAATGTGTTGCATGCATTCCCAAACACACATATTCAGTTTTATTGGTCTGGTTTGATTGACCAATGTAAAACCTAAAGCATTCCTTGGTATTATTTTCCATTCTTATATAGATCTGTGGCATCATTTGTGTTAAGTCTATTAAATGTATTTGAACTACTTGATAATTAAGCCATTTTTAAATTTTAATTTCTTTAATTTTTCAACCCTTTAGTAATTTTATGTTATTTTCTGGTCAAGTGTTTATGAAATTTTCAGCTGGGTCCCTTACTCCTTTCTGGTCAGATAGAAACTCTAGTTCACTCCCAGGAGAAGTGGTCACTAATACACTGTGTGTGTGTGTGTGTGTGTGTGTGTGTGTGTGTGTGTGTGTGTGTGTGCATGCTCTAAATGCACCAGCAGAGGGACTGTGTTGATAGTGTAAGATGTATTTCTTCCAGTATGTGACAGCGTTTTGGGACTATACGGTTTCACCTGCATGCGAGTGTGAGTGCGTGAGTGTGTGAATGTGTTTATACAGAACAGAGATGAACAGGGGAGAAGTGGAGACTTTTGCTGATCTATAAAAGCAAAAGAGTCACCGGGAGACACTGAGCATCAGAGTGTGTGTGTGTGTGTGTGTGTTCGTGTCCGAGAGAGTCAGTTTTAGCACAATATCCCCACTCTCAATCCACTCTGGAACTGTGTTACATTTCACCAGACACAACAACATTATTCATCTATGAATACTCTCTCTCTCTCTCTGTGTGTGTGTGTGTGTGTTTGTGTGAGTCCAATGGACTATCTTAAACTTGTGCACTTCTTGTTAAGAAAAGCTCTGGTCCATCTTTTTTTTAAAAAAAATACTACAAACAAATGCTCACATTTATTGACAAAGAGACACTTGTAAATTCCCATGGAGACCTAATATCCGTTTTCCTGCCATCCTTGCTCCCCTCTCTCAGGTCAATACCGTTCCACCTGGGGTGACGTGCGTGTGGGCATACTTGTTTACACAATATCAAGGAAAAGACGTGGGTTTCTCCAAAACCGAGCATGCTGAGAACAGCAGGCGGGTTCAGCAAAGACACAAATTATTTGTTTCATCCAGTGGAGTAAGCCCTCTCATTCCACATTGAACATTTTTCAGTGTCGACTGCTTTGCTATAGATTTCGCACTCCTTGAATGCTTTCCAAGTTACAACCGCAAACTTTGTTGTGCTTTTCGGGGACGTAATGTGATTAATTTGACGTGGAATAAAAAAAAAAAAAGTAAAATCTAAAAATTGCAGCAGGCGGTTTTATGACTCGACCTCAGTCGGAAGAATGGATGCAGAGCAGAGTTGTGAGCAATGATTCTCAATCGGATTGGAGTCTGAACTTGAACTGGGTCAGGTCTAAAAGAAGAATGTGTTTTGGTCTAAACCAGAGGTCTTCAATTCCAGTCCTCCAGGGCTGCCGCTTTAAGATGTGTCCCTGCTCCGACACAGCTGAATTACTTCATTAGTATGCAGACAAGTTTCTCAGAGCCCTGTTAATGACCTGATTATTTGACTCAGGTGTGTTGAAGCAGAAGCACAGCTAAATGTGTTTAAACTATTTACACTGAGATGAAATAACAGAGAAATACTATTAATCACCTTTGACGAGGCTGCACTGAATTTATTTGTGGGTATCAGTTTAAAGGGGGGGTTGATCACCTTACTCTTCACTTTTATGTTTTCTATATAGAACTGGAAATCATGTTTGAGTTTACTTGGACTTTAGCACTTCTTTACGTTGGTCTATTACATAAAATCCAAATAAAATGAACAGCATTTTGCGGTTGTAACATGACAAAATATGAAAAAAAAAAAAAAAAAAAAAAAAAAAAAAAATTTCCGGGGGGGGGGAATTAAAAAAATAAAACTTAAATGTTTTTTTTTGTCTTTGTTTGCTTTTTCC